TATATTGTCCCGATGACGTCATCACAAAGTTTTAGTTAGGAAATCTCACTTGAATTATAAAGTATTGTACGGTCCTTCACGTGTAGTTAAATAAACTTTTGTAATTTATTTAGGAGATTGGACGTTTTGAACTGTGTGTCCTTCAGAGACTAAGGAAGTTCTACGTAAATAAGTTTGCACCCTAAATTACTTTCAGTTGCACTTTTTCCAATGCACTTTGTTGCAGCGAGTAACATAGCAGTAAACACAACCGCAAACACCCCCTTAACCTTAATTTATTTAATGTGAGTAACGTTCGTGTTTCGAGCAAAACGTCAGCCCTTCGCGTTCGCACCTATGTTTAGAATTTCTCACTTCTCCAACTTTTCCATATAATTCTCCCTTTTCATCCCGATTATTGTCCCCTCATTGTGCCTTATAAATCGCGCCGTGGGTGCGATAAAGGGCCCGAGCGCCGAAAGTTCCACCGTATAATTTCCTTAAGATTATCTCCATCCTTGTTAAAGAAAGCCGTCTATTCAATAAAATGGAGTAAATGTGCAACATACATCCAGGTTAGGTACATAAAAGGGCCAGAGATTAGGAGTTGAGCAAGTGGTGCGAGGGCGCATTTGATGCATTAAACCGAGAAAACGGCGTAAATGGGGTTAGGTGGAAATATACGGGCGGAGGAAATGAAACGAGTGCAGCACATCTACCTAAAATCCGGCGGGTATTTCAGCGATCAATTTATATGGACAGGCGACGCTGGAATAAACAGGGATTTGATATGTAGGAGAGAAATGAAAATTCACCAGAGATATCGCTTTCGCTCGAAGTGCAACTGAAAGTACACAGTTCGAGTTAATTATTATTTACAATTTTGTACTTATTCTTTGTTTGAAGTTGGGGTCACAGTCGCTGAAACGGTCTCGATCGCGCGAAATCCCTCCGGTTTTCTTTAAAACTTCTGCACCCTTGACGGGAACAATGAAAACCCTTTTATTAGCCGGTACTTCCCTCCGGGCCTCCGGGAATAATCCCAAATCTTACCTGAATCACTCCCGAAATTCCATTCTCCCTCGGTAAAGCCGTTCGATCAATAAACACTGATAGAAAATCAAAACACCTTCGCCTCCAATGGCCTAAAAGGCGTAAAATTGCCCTTTTCGGGGCAAACACAATAAAAACCATCCGGAACAATATCGATGTTTCTTTGTAGTCCGCCCGTATCCAGTTTCACTCTTTCGGGCCTAGTTATGGAAAGCAATCCGGCGTTTCCAGTGGTGCGATTTCCGTCCGGACATGTGAATAAACGTCGTGGACGTGGCCCGAGGCGTCCGATCGCCGCAAAAACACAGTTTCCTGTTCTCCGCTTTGATTCATCCTCGAAAAGAGCGGCCAGAATGGCAAACATACGCCGACCGATTCCTACCATAAAGTTTGATTTATTTATTACCGGGAACGAGGGTCGCCGTTTTTCGGCATGATTAAAAAAGGTGGAACCCTTTCCCGAAAGCTGGATTCTCCAGATGATTTGTGCCTTTGATGTCTCGCGAGGAACACGCAAGAAATCTGGCTGGGGGCTGCGAGGCAGAGCGTAGGAGTCGCGGAACTAATTTTACGAATTTGGATCGAATAGACAAGAAACTAGTCGATGTGGGGCCTACGAAAAGGTTTAATTTAGCTAAGAAGTGAACGAGGAAGGCAGGTTCAAACTGATACGACGCAGAAACAGGAGAAAATCTGCTTATATTTGTTAGTCGTTTATCGAGGAAAAAGCTGCGTTGTTCTTGAGGCCTGTTCATTAAGTCCATTTTTGTGATATTCCTTTTGAACAAATAAACATATAATATCCTGTGTTGTCGAGAGCGTTCTAGACTGGGGCGTCCAAGGGTGAAATATTCCTTCGATTAAAACTTTGTTTTTGAAATTTGGACCTCCAGAAGTTATTTTTGACTTAATTTTTTCGAAAATTCCTACTAGATCTCCAAAATCGTGCACTAGTGCAAAATTATCGTCTAAAATTCATGCATGTCGTCAGGCAGAACATAAATGCTTTGATCATTTTTCTTAATTATTATGATAATTTGATCAAATTATTTGCAACATCATATATTGTTCCCTTTTCTAACCAAATTTTGCGCAACTTGTTAGAACATTTAAAAAATAAAATAAAACCATTTTTCTCAAACTAGTACTTTCCTAGACAACCGGCTTGTAATCACGGTATCACATACAGTAGTAGTGTGGAAAAAAATCGAAAAAACAAAAAAAAGGACGAAGTACTAAGGACGAAATAATTTTTGGCAGTTTTTGTTTTTTTATTTTTGGATGTCCCAATTTTTCAGTCTTAGAATTTTCCGAATTCTCAATTTTTCATTGTTAGAATTTTTCAGTTTCTCAATTTTTCAGTTTTAGAATTTTTCGATTTCTCAATTTCAAAACGATGAACGAAAAAGACAAAGGATGAGAAGGACGAGAAGGACGAAAAGGACGAAGGAGGAAGGACAAGGGACGAAGAACGAAAAACACGAAGGTCGAAAAGGACGAAGGACGAAAAGGACGAAAAGGGCCAAAAGGACTAAAAGGACGAAAATGACAAAAGGACGAGAAGGACGAAAAGGACGAAGGACGAAGGAGGAAGGACGAAAGACGAAGGACAAGGACGCAGAACGAGGATGGTCGAAGGACGAAAAGGAAAAAGTACATCGAACGAAAAAGACAAAGTTCAAAGGACGAAGGACGAAGGACGAAGAACAAAGGACGAAGGACGACGAAAAGGACGAACGCCGAAAGACGAAGGACGAAAAACGAATAGGACGAAAAGGACGAAAACGATGAAGAGGACAAAACAGGACGAAAAGGACGAAAAAGGACGAAAAAGGACGAAAAATTACGAAAAAGGACGAAACAGGACGAAAAGGACGGAAAAGGACGAAAAGGACGAACAAGGACGAAAAAGGACGAAAACGACAAAAAAGGACGACAAGGACGAAAATGTCGAAAGAGTACCAAAAAGGACGAAAAAAGACGCAAAGAACGAAAAAAGACGAAAAAGTACGAAAAGGACGAGAAGGACGAACAGGACGAAAAACGACGAAAAAGGACCAACAAAGACGAAAACGACAAAAAAGGACGACAAGGACGAAAATGTCGAAAGAGTACCAAAAAGGACGAAAAAAGACGCAAAGAACGAAAAAAGACGAAAAAGTACAAAAGGGACGAAAAGGACGAACAAGGACGAAAACGACGAAAAGGACGAACAAGGACGAAAACGACTAAAACGACGAAACAGGACGAAAAGGACGAAAAGGACAAAAAAGGACGAAAGGGACGAACAGGACGAAAAAGGACGAAGAAGGACGAAAAAGGACGAAAACGATAAAAAGGACGAAAAACGACGAAAAAGGACGAACAAGGACGAAAAAGGACGAAAACGACAAAAAAGGACGAAAAAGGACGTAAAGGAGGAAAAAGGACGAAAACGACAAAAAAGGACGAAAAAGTCGAAAGAGTACCAAGAAGGACGAAACAGGACGAAAAGGACGAAAAGGACGCAAAGAACGAAAAAAGACGAAAAAGTACGAACACGACAATAAAGGACGAAAAAGACGAACAAGGCCGAAAAGGACGAAAAGGACGAAAAAGGACGAAAAAGGACAAAAAGGACGAACAAGGACGAAAACTACGAAAGGGACTAAACAGGACGGAAAAGTCGAAAGAGGACCAAAAAGGACGAAAAGGACGAAAAGGACGAGAAGGACGAAAAGGACGAACAAAGGCGAAAACTACGAAAGGGACGAAACAGGACGAAAAGGACGAAACGGACGAACAAGGACGAAAAAGGACGAAAACGACAAAAAAGGACGAAAAAGACGAGCAAGGCCGAAAAGGACGAAAAAGTCGAAAGAGGACCAAAAAGGACGAAAAAGGTCGAAAAGGACGAAAAGGACGAAAACGACGAAAAGGACGAACATGGACGAAAATGACTAAAACGACGAAACAGGACGAAAAGGACGAAAAGGACAAAAAAGGACGAAAGGGACGAACAGGACGAAAAAGGACGAAGAAGGACGAAAAAGGACGAAGACGATAAAAAGGACGAAAAACGACGAAAAAGGACGAACAAGGACGAAAAAGGACGAAAAAGGACGTAAAGGAGGAAAAAGGACGAAAACGACAAAAAAGGACGAAAAAGTCGAAAGAGTACCAAGAAGGACGAAACAGGACGAAAAGGACGAACAAGGGCGAAAACTACGGAAGGGACGAAACAGGACGAAAAAGTCGAAAGAGGACCAAAAAGGACGAAACGGACAAAAAGGACGAGAAGGACGAAAAGGACGCAAAGAACGAAAAAAGACGAAAAAGTACGAACACGACAATAAAGGACGAAAAAGACGAACAAGGCCGAAAAGGACGAAAAGGACGAAAAGGACGAAAAAGGACGAAAAAGGACAAAAAGGACGAACAAGGACGAAAACTACGAAAGGGACTAAACAGGACGGAAAAGTCGAAAGAGGACCAAAAAGGACGAAAAGGACGAAAAGGACGAGAAGGACGAAAAGAACGAACAAAGGCGAAAACTACGAAAGGGACGCAACAGGACGAAAAATTACGAAAAAGGACGAAACAGAACGAAAAGGACGGAAAAGGACGAAAAGGACGAACAAGGACGAAAAAGGACGAAAACGACAAAAAAGGACGAAAAAGACGAGCAAGGCCGAAAAGGACGAAAAAGTCGAAAGAGGACCAAAAAGGACGAAAAGGGTCGAAAAGGTCGAAAAGGACGAAAAAGACCAAAAAGGACGAACCAGGACGGAAAGGACGAAAAGGACGAAAAAGGACGAAAAAGAACAAAAAGGACGAAAAAGGACGAAAAGGACGAACAAGGATGAAAACTATGAAAGGGACGAAACTGGACGAAAAAGTCGAAAGAGGACCAAAAAGGACGAAAAGGACGAAAAGGACGAAAAGGACGAAGGACGAAGGACTAAAAGGACGAAGGACGAAGAACGAGGATGGTGGAAGGACGAAAAGGACGAAGTAAATCAAACGAAAAAGACGAAGTACGAAAAGGACGAAGGACGAAGAACGACATAAAGGACAAAAAGTACGAAGAGGACGAACGCCGAAGGACGAAGGATGAAAAGGATGGTGCAAGAAGGATGAAGGATGAAGGACGAAGGGCGAAGGATGAAGTACGAAAGACTAAAAGGACGACGGACTAAAAGAACGAAAACGACGAAAAGGACGAACAAGGACGAAAACGACCAAAATGACGGAACAGGACGAAAAGGACGAAAATGAACGGAAAGGAAGAAAAAGGACGAATAGGGTGAAAAGAACGAAAAAGGACGAAAACGACAAAAAAGAACGACAAGGATAAAAAAGTGGAGAGTACCAAAAAGGACGCAAAAGGACGAAAAGAACGAAAAAGACGAAAAGAACAAAAAGGACGAAAAGGACAACAAAGGACGAAAAGGAACAAAAAGGACGAAAAAGGACAAAACTACGAAAAAAGACGACAAGGACAAAAAAGTGGGAAGAGTACCAGAAAGGACGAAAAAGGACGAAAAGGACGAAAAGGACGAAAAGGACGAAAAAGGACGAACAAGGACGAAAACGACAAAAATGACGGAACAGGACGAAAAGGACGAAAATGAACGAAAATTAAGAAAAAGGACGAATAGGGCGAAAAGGACGAAAAAGGACGAAAACGACAAAAAAGAACGACAAGGACAAAAAAGTGGAGAGTACCAAAAAGGACGCAAAAGGACGAAATGAACGAAAAGGACGAAAAGAACAAAAAGGACGAAAAGGACGACAAAGAACGAAAAGGATGAAAAAGGACGAAAAGGAACAAAAAGGACGAAAAAGGACGAAAACTACGAAAAAAGACGACAAGGATAAAAAAGTGGAAAGAGTACCAGAAAGGACGAAAAAGGACGAAAAGGACGACAAGGACGAAAAAGGACGAAAAGGGCGATAAAGGACGAAAAGGACGAACAAGGACGAAATGTTCGAAAAGGGATGAAAAGGACGAAAAGGACGGACAAGAACGAAAAGGACGAAAAGGACGAACAAGGACGTAAACGACGAAAAGGACGAAAAAAGATGAAAAGGGCGAAAAGGACGACAAGGACGAAAAGGACGAAAAAAACGAAGAAGAATGAAAAGGACAAACAAGGACGGAAAGAACGAAAAGTAGGAAAAGGACGAAGAAGGACGACAAAGGACGAAAAAGGACGAAACGGACTAAAAAGGACGAAAAAGCACGAAAAAGGACGGAGGACGAAGGTCAATGATGAAGGACTAAGGACAATGGACTATGGACTATGGACGAAGGACGATTGTATTTTTTCAGTTTTGGAATTTTTCGATTTCTCAATTTTCCAATTTTTCAGTTTTTTGATTTTTGCAGAAACAGCACCAAAATTGTAGACGAGTTAACAGAACAAGGCGAAAAGGACGACAAGGGTGAGAAGGACTAAGAAAGACGAAAAAAGACGACAAGGATGAAAAAGTCGAAAGAGGACGAAAAAGAACGAAGAAGGACGAAAAGGACGAAAAAAGACGAAAGGGGCGATAAAGGATGAAAAGGTTGAACAAGGAGGAAATGTTCGAAAAAGGATGAAAAGGACGAACAAGGACCAAAACGACGAAAAGGACGAAACAGGACGAAAAGGACGAAACGGACGAAAACTACGAAAATTACGAAAAAGGACGAAGACGAAAAAGACGAAGGACGAAAAAAACGGAGGACCAAGGACCAAGGATGGAGGACGAAGGTCAAGGACGAAGGACTAAGGACTAAGGACTATGGACGAAGGACGTAAAGGACGAGGGACGAAGAACCAAGGACGAAATAATTTTTGACAGTTTTTGTTTCTTTAATTTTTCGATTTGTAATTTTTCAGTTTTTCGATTTTTGCAGAAACAGCACCAAAATTGTGGGCGAGTTAACAGAAGTCAGACGACGAAAGACAGAAGACAGACAGATAACGAGGAGACCGGCAGACGAAAAAAGAAGCAGGTGAATAATGAGAGAAAGATAATGCAAAATATCTAAAGGAACGAAAAATAGCTAACAGCAAATGGCCAGATCGGTAGGGGACAGACAAGCAGACGAAAAGTAAATGATAAACGACAGGAGACAGAAAGACAATAGAAAGAGACCGGTTAAAGGAAAACATACGGTGAAAAGCAAATGGTCAGAAGACAGACAGACAGGCAGACAGACAGACAGACAAACAAACGAAAAACCAGAGGACGGAGACAAAAGAGAGAGGACAGCCTTGAAAGACAAATAATGATAACATAACTATCGAAAAACAGACGATAGATGACAAGCGACGTGAGGCAAGTAGTTAAAGAAGATACAAAAACAAGTGGTCAGATCGGATGAGGACAAATAGACGTAGGAAGATAGAGAACCCCTGATATTTACGGCATCGATTTCTTCCATCTTATTTACGGCAGATTTATGAAAACGAAGCCACAGTAGGTGATAATTAGTCCCACATTCCCTGCGACAACTAACGTAATCTCAGTTTTCCTCCCAGCCATTACATTTCCCGCGTTAAATCGCCATATTATCGCCTTACGGGGGATAACGCTAAGGAAACACTTCTTAGCACTAACCGTATTAACAGCACATCATAAACAGCGCCATTTTTCGTCGATAAACCCCTCATTCCCGCCCTCTTCTTCCACCCACCCAAACATGCACCCAAATAACCCCAACAATGAAACTTTAATTCCCACCCCGGCTTCCTGCACGCACCCCCGGCCTCGGCTTACGTCCGCGAGTAAATATTCACCAAGCAACTCGGCAAATTACGCAAAATTACCCCTCAGCCGTCTTTTTCCCCGTCCCTGCCAAGAATTCCTCCCGGCTGCCCTTTTTATGTGCTTTGTTTGATTAAGTTCGGACTTTGGCAGTTCGGTATTTCGTGTTAGACAGTTACGATCCCGGAATATTGTATATTATTGAAGAACCCAGAGGTAATAGTTACGGCCGCAGCCGACGTCATGACGACATTTTGGCCGAAACAGCCTAATCTATAGTCCGGGCACACAGCAGCCGGAAACTCCGGAGTGCCTTTCTCATTACCGGAACATTGCGAAATTTGACCGTTTGTCTTATTCGTAGCTGTACGAAGCCGCGCCGCGATAAATCACGCCGCGACAAATTTATGTCGCGCGACAGTGTTGTTTGCGAACGTAAATATGTACGTCGCTGCGACGTGGCCCGGTAACCGAGTTTCGACGTTTTCGGGTTTCTTTGTTGGGGGCGCGATTCGGATGCTGATTAGGGGCGGCGATCGATTGGCGGGGGCGGAAGGGCTGTTGGAGGCGCGGGGGTGGAGGGTTATAGCTTTTAATTAGTATTAAGATCGACAATAAAGGAAAAATTACTGTGAGTTTGGACGGGTCATCGATCTTGAGATGCGGCCGGGGTGCCGGTGGAATAAAAATTAGTTATGGTGTAGTTTTTTTGTTATTAATGGTGGCAAAGTGTGATGAAGAGAACAGATTAGGGAAGTTTGTGGTGTGAGGGAACAATTTCGTAATCACTGAGTGTCAGGTTGTTTCTGTTTCAGAATTAAATTATCTCTATTTCAATGTTTTATTACTTTCAGTGGTTCCCGGCGAGGGAACACGCTAGTGTATTCTAAAGCTCGAGTTCGTTTAAACGGTGAAATATAGGGTTTAGTGAAAGATTGTCTTGCTTAATATAGGACACAAGGGGCTATTTTAAAATTTGCAGATATTCCGGAATATCTTCTAATGTTTTTAGTTTTTTTTTTCTTATTTCAGGCACTGATTTCAACGTTCCGACCATTTACAAGAAACCGCATAGCGTCAAATGTTGGTGGTTTTACGATTCTAATTTTGCAATTTTTAGATATTTAGATTACATTTTTAGTTTAAAAAAATGGAAAAACTGTAATATTAAGTCGGGCGCTGGAATATTGCCCCTAGTCCTCATTATTAGTTAAAGTCCAGTGTCGTTCTGGGATTAGTAGCCGATAAAAAATTGGTCCAAACTTGTGGCGAGAGAACTTCCCTTGCTTCTGAAGTGCAGTCGAACAAATACTCTTTCTCTGTAAAATTATAGAAATTGATTTTACTTTTTCGTGATCCGTGGAGTAAAACTAATATAGAATAAACTAGTCACAGTGTAATCCAAAAAAAGAAGGTCTCATTTTCTCAAAAAACATACTTGGGGCACCCCCGAAGGTTCCGCCTTCTTTAAAAAAGGACAATTATGACCCCCAAGAAGGTTTTACATTTTTAAAAAAGACAATTGAAACTCCCGAGAAGGTTTTACATTTTTAAAAAAGACAATTGGGACCCCCGAGAAGGTTTTACATTTTTAAAAATGACAGCTGGGACCCCCGACAAGGTTTCACATTTAAACACAAAGACATTTGGGGTCCCGAGAAGGTTTTACAATTTAAAAAAAAGACAGTGAGGACCCCTGAGAAGATATCACATTCGAAAAAAAAAAAGTCACGCCCCCGACAAGGTTTTACATACTAAAAAAGGACAATTGGGACCTCCGAGAAGGTTTCACATTAAAAAAATACATTCAGGCCCCCGAGAAGGTTTTACAATTTTAAAAATGACAGATAGGACCCTCGAGAAGGTTTTACATTTTTGAAAAAGACAGTCGGAACCCCCGAGAAGGTTTCACGTTCTTAAAAAAAAGACATTTGGCGCCCCCGAGAAGGTTTTATATTTCTGAAAAAGACAATTCGGACCCCCGAGAAGGTTTCACATTTTTAAAAATGACAGTTTTGACGACCGAGAAGGTTTTACATTTGAAAATAAAGACACTTGGGGCCCTCGAGAAGGTTTGACATTTTTAAAAATGACAGTTGGGGCCCCCGAGAAGGTTTCGCATTTAAACACAAAGACATTTGGGGCCCCGAGAAGGTTTTACAATTTAAAAAAAAACAGTTGGGACCCCTGAGAAGATTTCACATCCTAAACTGACGCCCCCGACAAGGTTTTCCATTTTTAAAAAAGACAATTGGGATTCCCAAGAAGGTTTCACACTAAAAAAATACATTTGGGCCCCCGAGCAGGCTTTACAATTTTAAAAATGACAGTTAGGTCCCCCGAAAAGGTTTTACATTTTTGAAAAAGACAGTTGGAACCCCCGAGACGGTTTCACATTTTTAAAAATGACAGTTGGGACCCCTGAGAACATTTCACATTCTTAAAAAAAAAATTTGGCGCCTCCGAGTAGGTTTCACATTTTTGAAAAAGACAACTGGGACCCCCGAGAAGGTTTTACATTTTTAAAGAAGACAGTTGGGACCCCCGAGAAGATTTCACATTCTAAAAAACACACTTGGCGCCCCCGAGAAGGTTTGACATTTTTAAAAATGACAGTTGGGACACCCGAGAAGGTTTCACATTAAAAAATGGGACATTTGCCCCCCCGAGAAGGTTTGACATTTCTAAAAAAGACAGCTGGGACCCCCGAGAAGGTTTCACATTAAAAAATAGGACAAATGGCGCCCCGAGAAGGTTTTACATTTTTAAAAAAGACAGTTGGGACCCCCGAGAACGTTTCACATTCTTAAAAAAAATACATTTGAGGCCCCAAAGAAGGTTTTATGTTTTTAAAAAAGACAGTCGGAACCCAGAAGGTTTAACAATAATAATGATAATAATAATAGGACTTCATTAAATAATAATAGGACAAGCCTAGCCATATGTTTTTCCACTTAATTTTATATTTACAAGGAAATAAAACTAGCTAAACAGTTAGTACATAAAAACGGAATAAATATCTAAACAGGAGTCAGCTAGGTACTGATCAAACCAAACAATTTAAATTACATAAATCTAAATGAAATAATAATCCATAATTAGGAACTAAATTTATACAAATAATAATAATAATAATAATAATAAAAAGTTAGCAACGAGCATTATAACCACCATAATAAACCTAAAGCTAAGTATTAAGTATTAACCAAGTACATTTTAAGTTTTTTCCTAAAACAGTTGACGGGGAAACTCGAATTAAACTCTAATAAAAATTTTTTGTAAACCTAAATATAGAGACATTTGGGCCACCCGAGAAGGTTTTACATTTTTAAAAAGACAGTTGGGATCCCCGAGAAAGTTTCACATTGTAAAAAAAAGACATTTGCCGCTCCCGAGAAGGTTTTACATTTTTGCAAAAGATAGTTGGGACCCTCGAGAAGGTTTCACATTATTAAAAATAACAGTTGGGACCCCTGAGAAGGTTTCATATTTAATCACAAAGACATTTGGGGCCCCAAGAAGGTTTTACATTTTTAAAAAAGACAGTTGGGGCTCCGAGAAGGTTTTACATTTTTAAAAAAGACAGTTGGGACCCCTGAGAAGGTTTCACATTTTTAAAAATGACAGTTGGGACCCCCGAGAAGGTTTCACATTTTTAAAAAAGACAGTTGGGATTCCCGAGAAGGTTTCATATTTAAATATGAAGACATTTGGGCCAACCGAGAAGATTTTACATTTTTAAAAAAGATAGTTGGGACACCCAAGAAGATTTCAAATTCTTCAAAAAAGACATTTCCCTCCCGAGAACGTTTTACATTTTTGAAAAAAATAGTTGGGTCCACCGAGGGTGTTTTACATAAAAAAAAAGTACAATTGGGACTCCCGAGAAGGTTTCACATTAAAAAAACACATTTGGAGCTACCGAGAAGGTTTTGCATTTTTAATAAAACACAGTTGGGGCCCCCGAGAAGATTTTACAAAAAAAAGACAGTTGGGACCCACGAGAAGGTTTCACATTC